CATCCCTCCCTCAGAGAGCAGCCGTGGTGAACCCAGCATGTAATACAGAAGACACAGAACCGACCTAACAAAATAATGAGGGGGCAGGACGTGCCAAATACACAAAATCTCAAAATTCAACTCCAAATCAGATGCAAGAGAGTAAGTCCAGCACTTGGGAGCAGAGGCAGGAAGATCAGGAGCTCGGGGTTATCTTCACCTGCACAGTTCAAGGGAAACCTGTGAACATGAAACCCTATCTCAAAAAAACAAAATAAGATATAGCTCAGTAATAAAGTACTTTCTTAGCAAACATGAGGTCCTAAAGCTTTACCCCTGTCTCCACAGAGCAAATCCCAAAGTCAACAATAAAAAAAGCACAGAGCATCATCAAAGATAAGCAAAATATTTGATTACATACTTCATTTATAAAAAAAACATATTTGAGGGGTTGGAGAGATAGTTCAATGGTTAAGAGTACTTGCTACTCTTGCAGAGAACCTAGGTTCGATTCCCAGTACACCCACCTGGCAGCTCACAACCATCTGTAACTCTCGTTCCAGAGGACCTGATGCCCTCTTCTGGCCTCCACGGGTACAAGTCATGCAGATGGTATGCTGATGCATGCAAGCAAACACCCACACAAATAAAATAATTTTTCTAAAGTACATGCTTAGATTATAATTAATTCAATGAAACAAGTAATGTCCCACATCATTAATCCTTAAAGAAATATAAATTAAAACTATATGAAAATCGGTTACACACCTATTGGAAAGGCTACAATAAAAAAGTCTGGCCCGACAGTGGGGGTGGTGCACATCTTTATTCCCAGCACTTGGGAGGCAGAAGCAGGCAGATCTCTGAATTAGAGGACAGCCTGGTCTACAGAGTGAGTTCCTGAACAGCCAAGGCTACACAGAGAAACCTGGGAGAGAGAAAGTGGGGAAGGAGGGAGGGAGGGAGGGATGGAGGGACAGATGGACAGACAGACGGACAGAGAGAGAGAGGGACAGAGAGAGAGAGAGAGAGAGAGAGAGAGAGAGAGAGAGAGAGAGAGAGTCTTCCCCTACCAAGTATGGGTGTAGAATTCTCATACATCATGGTGGAGATTTAAAAACAGTGAAAATACCTCAAGTGTAAGTTGTGTAGATCCTTAGACATTAATCATAAGGCCCAGCTGTTACACTACTATTCATCAACCAAAAAAACAAAATTAAAAATAGAGGCATGTGTCTATCGACAAACTGTTGTGAATAACTATTGAATCTCCATCTATAACAGCTCCAAACTGAAAACCATCAACTTGACCACCGACTGGTATAGCACTCAGGCAGTTGTGAGACATCCATATAAATGTTTACTACTCGAGAACTTTTTTTAAAAATGGGCTATTAATACAGTGCCTTAGCTGGCATTTCTACTGCTGTGAAGAGACACCATGACAACCATTATAAAGGAAAATGTTTAATTGGGGTTGGCTGGCTTGCAGTTCAGAGGTTTAGTCCATTTTTGTCACAGCAGGTAGCAAGACAGCATGGCAGGCAGACACAGTGCTGGAGAAGGAGCTGAGAGTTCTTACACCCTGACTCACAGGCCACAGGAAGTGGTCTGTCTCACCGGGGCACAGCTTGAGCACATACGAGACCTCAAAGCCCACCTCCAGGGTGACACACTTCCTCCAACAAGACCACAGCTGCCCCAACAAAGACATACCTCCTAATAGCACCACTCATTGGGGAGGGGGGCATTTTATTTCAAAACACCACATACTGGTAATAATAACTTGAAAATTTTTCAACAAAAAAAAAAATGTCCTGAGTGAAAGACACCAGAGGAAAAAATGTCCAGGAAGAGCAAAGGAGAGTGACCAAGGAGAAACAGGTGACTCCTTGCAGGCAGGAGTGCCTAATAGACGTGTGGAAGAGAACATTACAGACAGGATGGAGGACCTGTTGGGTGATTTCACGGGAAGGCTTAGTGCTCTGATCTTGGTGATGATTTCACAGGTATGTGCATGTATCAAAACATCTTGAATTTTACACTTCCAAGATGTGTTTCTAACGGGTACGGGTTCCAACTCAATAAGGCTGCTGACACAGAAAGGCTGCCTTACAAACGCACTTCCTAGCTCGCCAGTGTGGAAGGGCGCTCTCTGACCACCTCCGCCAGCATTTTTCTCTTCTCTCCTGCGGTCCCTGAGCACTTCCTGCCTCTCCGCCTCATCTGACTTCCCACACACCCCGCCTCCCTTGTGTGTGTGTTTCCAGTTATTGTTTGATGGGCATGATCTTGAGTTTACTCCCTTAAAAACATAGCCAGCATCTCTGGTCCTCCAACGGCCCTGGGAGAACGCCTTGCATGAAGTAGACCCCCCACCCCCCCACCCGCCCATCCCCCGCAAACGCTGTGTTGAGAGATCCATCTCCAGAGAAATATAGTTTATGTCATTTTTTTCAGGAGACAAATTATAGGACTTCCTCCTAGCCTTGATCAAGCTGATGGAAACAAATTCCCAATTTAAACTTAAGCAGTGCATTGCCAAACACAGCAATTTCCAATGTGGGAGATGTTAAAGAGTCCAAACACTCCAATAAATCATGTGTGACAAAAATCAGTGCTTTGGGGCCAAGAATCAGAGGGATTCACATCAGAACCCATACAATTAGCCAGCCTGGCCAAAGTAAATGTCTCAAGAGAGGCTGATTTGTAAACATCCTCATTTGCTTCCTCATCTAATGTTTATGTGAAACCATCCCAAAATGTACAGACAAAAGGCAAACTGAAACCCCAAAAAAGTCATGGGCTCCAAAATAAGTTGGCATCTCAGCTTCAGAAAATCATGCCAAGGTTTTGATTCCAATTGATTGATTATATCACCGAGGAATTTTTTGTTACACAAGACCCCGGCATTGGAAAGGTAGAAGTCTACATTTCTAGCTGAAACCCACTTGCGTCTGTGTAAGATCCCCCCCACTGAATAAAAAGGCTGTGGAGATACTCAAACTGAAAACTGGTATCGCCACGGCTATCCTTGTCTTGAAGATCCCTTACAGATGAGTAGGTGAAAAAGTCCTGGTTGGAAACTTCTGGACCTCCTTCTCATGCTGCCTGCCAGCCTCAGATGCAGCCGTCAGCTAATACTCGATGCAGGTGCCTCTCTGACTAAGCATTTGGGAGCTTGTGTAGGGTCTCTCGTGAAGTTCGGGCAGAGCCAGCATAACACTTCAGGGGCTGCAGGCAACCTCAGACGGAGCGCGGCCCAGCCATGCCTGTGTCAAGAGACCACTTGGCTACCCGGGGACCCTTCTCCCCTGGCCCCTTAGTTGTGCAGAGCCCCACACGCCGCGCTCTAAATGGCTTCTCATGGCCTCTCCTCCCTGCTGTCATGCTTCACCAATTCTCCTCTAGGTCCCAGGTCTCCTTGCCTCCTCTGTTGACTGTGAAACGCCCCCCACCCCCGCACAGGTTCAAGTGTCTGAACACTCAGGCCTCAGTGGGTGGCACTGTCTCAGAAGGCTGTGGACCCTTTAGGGGTGGAGCCTTGCTGGAGGGAGGGACACTGGGATGTCTAGAGGGTTTTAGAGCACACAAGCACTTCCTGGCCGCCTCAGTTTCCTGATTGCTGGTGCGGAGCGATCGGTCCGCCCACTCCTGCCTCCGTGCCTTCCCCACCGCGAGGGAACAGGCTCCCTCGAACTGTAAGCCAGAACAAACCTTTCTTAAACCGCTTCTCTGTAATTCTCTTCCACAGCAAGGGGAGTAACAAATACAGCCTCTCCACCTCCGTTCCTACCTGCTGTTTCTGCCCTGTCTGGCCCTGTCCACAGTCCCCATAAAAGATGAACCTTCATTTCTAGTTTCCATCCTATTTGGCAAGCTTTGATTTTAATCCAAAGTTTCGCTAAGTACATTGGAACCATTCTAATAGACCATAGAAATATTAAAAAACAACTACCACCTTTAAAAGCCAAGCCTTGTCACCATCTGGCTGGGCTGGAGGTGGAGCCACGGCTTCTCTGCCACGGAGCATCAGCCTTAACCTACCCACCCACGCTGGTTTCGTTTCATTCTTGAGAGAGAGAGTCACTAGTTCACTCAGGCTAGCCTTCGAACTTACTCTGTAGCCCAGACAGCCTTGGAAATACAACCCAGCCACTGAGGGGTGGCTGTTAACCTGGGAGACAGGCACGCTGATGCCACCAGACGCAGTTAATATGGCAGTCCTAACCCTGTTTTTCCCCAGAAAAGGTATGCTTGGGCACCTCCGTCATTAGCGGTCCCTCCCGCTATCTCAAGATTTTACCCCTGCCGGTTTTCTTTCCTCTGTAGCCTCTGCAACCGCGCCAACTTCCACAGTGTGGTATGAATAAAGCATGTGGTACTTGTCGACCCAGTGTTCAATGCCAATTGTATTCGGCTGAGACCGCGCAGCGAGTAATTGGTTCCAAATGGCAGGTGTGCAAGCCGCCGCAAAGGGAAGCCACAAAGACAAATGTTAGAAATGGCCTTTCACACCCACACAGGCAACGAAAGCAGAGAACTCCGCAGGGCACCAAGGTACGCTGTGTGCCTCTGACCAACCAGCCTCCTCCGGAGACAGGCTCCCTTCCAACCTTGACGTTCTGTTCTGCCACCGTAAAGGTGTCCCAGCTGTGCCGCCTCTGGGATTCGCAGCGCCCACTTTACCAGGCATGACTCATGCTGGGCATGTAGCAACGTCTTCCCACTCGGGTATCACTTGGAGGCACCAACACCAACGACAGCAAAGGAAGGAAAAAGGAAGAAAGGAGGGAGGAAGGAGGAAGGGAGGGAGGAAGGGAGGAGAAAGGAAGGAAGGAAGGAGAAAGGAAAAAAGGAAGAAAGGAGGGAGGGAGGAAGGAAGGAGGGTAGGAAGGAAAAAAGGAAGGAAGGAAGGAGAAAGGAAAAAAGGAAGAAAGGAGGGAGGGAGGAAGGAAGGAGGGTAGGAAGGAAAAAAGGAAGGAAGGAAGGAAGGAGAAAGGGAAGGAGTGTTCACCCACCTCTGCCCTCAGTCAGCCTTCCAAAGAGTAAGTGTGAAGCAAGTTTCCTTCAATTGGCTCGGGCTGCTAAGTAGTCAGCACATCTAAACGGCACGGGATAACCATGGAGCTGATTTAGCACAGCCTTGACTCTGAGAAGACATGCATATGCGTGAGTTGTGTGTAAGGCTGTATACATATGAATGCATACATCCACTACAGTGAAGGAAGTTCTTCACTGTGAGTGGTAGCGAGTAGCTGTGTTTGATCACCACCAGACAGACGCCACGCCGTGCCACGTGTAGCTCACCCGTGTAATCGTCTGTGAAGGTGCAGCATGCCAGGCGCCATCCCCGAGGCTGGAGAGATTTGTCTTTCTTACAGCTGTCTGCGTTTCCTCTCTGCAGAAGGAGGTGAGGAACGGCCGCTCCGGCTAAGCCGCATCACTTTTGGGGAGTATGTCCGCTGCGTTGAAGAGCAGAAGAAAATAAAGCCTGCGCAGGCTCCAGAAATCAGGAAGTACCAAGCAGATGCTGGGAGACCAGAGGAGCCTCAAGTCTGCGTACTTAGCAGCTGTCCATCTACTCCTGTCACGGTGAGGACCCAAGCGGCTGGGGAGGGTGACAGGAGTAGAATCTAGCTCATCAGGCAGGAAGCAAGCACCTCGCCTACAGGGTGAGACGGAACTGCCGTACCCAGTGGACAGTGACGGGCATGGAGGTGTTTCTCACAAGACATGGGCCTGGAATGTTTGAGCCACAAGAGAGACTTAAGCAGAACAGCTGTGTCTGAGTTGGTCTTTGCATCCCATGCTTCCAAGTTTTGTATCAGAATCCACAGATAACGATAGGGTTCAGAAGGCCTCTGGGCCCGAAGGAGGACACTCAGGGTGGAAGTTTACCGGCTCGAGACCCCACTGAGCTCCTTGGAGGCTGAGGGAACGTGTCTTGCGGCACGGTTGGCAAGGCGTACGGAGGCCAGTGTCCTCCCTCTAACAGAGCAACCTAGTCTGTAACATCATCCCTCAGCTAGAAAACCAGAGCGGAGTGTAGGGGGAACTTAAGACTCGGCCATCAGCCACACGGTGATCTAGAGATGCATACGGAGGTGGTAACCAAAGGGTGGAACCGCAGGGCTAACCACACCCACTGTGGGCATGACTAGAGACAGGGCGGGGAACTACGTCACTAGCCAGGCCCACTTTTGGGCGTGGCTGAGGCGTGTACTGAGGAAGGAATAAAAGACCAAGCGGCAGAGCCTCATGCCCTCTTTTCGGCTTCCGGTTCGATGAGGGGAGGGCTACTTGACTCATCTGGGTTGCCCGGTTTCTCTTGTGAGTAATTTCTACAATAAACAGTTACCTATGCCCTCAACAAGTGTGTCGTTTATCATTGCAGCGAAAACAGAGCCCAGCAACTTGGGCTTCCCTCGGTTGGTGTCTCCATACCCAGCTCACGACCTACTGATATCCCAGACGAGGACATCGGCGTCATCGAGGACCTTGTTCAAGTGTGCGTCTTTAGATTCCTCCCTCAACCCCAAGTCTGGCACTCAATCACTCAATGGTGCTTCCTTGAGCCTTTTGACTGGTGACTATGAGGCTCCCTCAAGGTCAAACATTTCTGCTGTCATCCGTGCTGACTCCTGGTGAAGTGGTTAGGTCACCGGACTCAGGTTGGCAATGCTCTTCTGGAAAGCGCCCGATCGGCGGTCTATTTCCGGTCCTTCGGCTCATTTGCTGTCTGGCACGGTCACTAAACGGCGCCTATCGGTTACGGGCATTGCATAAACGAATGGGCTTAGTGGTGTTCCCATACAGCTGTCCTTACAAAATCTCCAGTGGGGTAGACTTGGCTTTTAGACTGCGTCTTGACAACACTCCGTCACTGGTTACTGTTCTTAAACCTCTTTGCTTAAATCCTTAGCCGTTCGGGTTAACGCCAAAATCACTTAACGCCTTGTAGCACCTGTCAATGTCGGTGACAACGCCTGCCTGTAATCATCCAATCTGCATATTTAAGTGACTCCTAAAGGTGGGGCTCTGGCACACAGGCAGAAAATCTTCATCCCATGGAGACAGCTAAATTGAGAAATAAGTGGACAAAGTTGTATCATTGTGAATGTAGCCCATTGCAGAAAATGCCTAAAACATGTAGGTTTTTGCTGTTAAATAAGTTTAAATTTTCCACTGGTAAAGGAAAAGGGTTTATAATACAAAAAGGATTACAATACACACTTAAATTCCTTTTAGAATCATCATGCAAGTATATTATTCTCCCAATTCCAAGGCTGATGGGATTACCACTGTCCTGGCTACCACCCCTCATTAGGCTCACAGGGTCGTAGGTCAAGAGTTTAAAGAGGGTGAGGTGGGAAATGCCTGTGTCTCTCACCATCTCCTTCCCTGGGAAGACTGAACTTTCCACAGGACAGAATATTTTGGAGATCCTATATCCACATATCTAGTACCTGGGCTGAGAGGAACCAGATTAGACTAATCTTGGGATACTCACCAGAGTGCCAGTGTGTGGCCTCAATACATGGTATGACCCCTCATAGCACAGTGGCCTTGGAGTGACCACATTTCTTACTTAGAAACCCAGAACCCTAAGACAAAGTGTTCCAATGAGCAAGACAAAGAGGTATGGCCCTTATGGCCTGAAACAAGAAGTCACGCACGATTCTCCCACGCCTTCCTGAGGAAGAGATATACGACTATCCAGGCCGGTGGTGGCGCACACCTTTAATCCCAGCACTTGGGAGGCAGAGGCAGGCAGACCTCTGTGAGTTCGAAGCCAGCCCGGTCTACAGAGCAAGTTCCAGGACAAGCTCCAAAGCAATACAGAGAAACCCTGTCTCGATGGATGGATGGATGGATGGATGGATGGATGGATGGATGGATAGATACATAGATACATGGATAAAGATTGTCCAGATTCCAAAATTGATTGCAGTGCACAGAACCCACCTCTAGATAGGAAAGAATCTGAGTAATTTTCAACACTGTAGTCACCATACAGAGAGACATGGTTGTACACAACCATGATCTGTGCACAAAAGGGGCTGAGGCAGGAGGGTCACCATGAGTTCAAAGCCAATCTAGGATACACAGTAAACTCAAGACAAGCCTTGACTACATAACAAGACCCTCTCTCAAAGCACATGCACACCCATCACACATACACACACACATACACGTACACACGCGTACACATACACACATGAACACACATACACACACACCCCAGAGAAACCAATCATGAGAAATGAACATCGCAGAATGAGAACAATCTGTAAGACTTTATGGACTTTTCTTATGTTTATTCTGGAAAATAACAATGTTAGAGCTAGAAAGTCCAATATCAGTGAAGGCCAAATGTTCTCAGCTTTGGTCAAATGTCCTTTGGCTCGTAGCAACACAAAGAAATGGGAAGGAAACTAGAGGAGGTCAAGCACATTCCATGAACTTTTGTTTAAATGGAGTCAATACACTAAACCGCAGCCAACTTCACTATGAACTCAAAGGCGAAAGACTGTCTGAAAATCATCTGGTTTAAGTATACACTTTAGTCACCTTCTGAAAGAGGAGGCTAGGATGTGTTTCCATCTGTCCATAAAACAAACAAAAAAAGGCTGTCAATACCACATGGTACTGAACAACGTGTAGAATATGGGCTTATCCACTATCGAGACAGACTGACCAGCTGTTAGGAAAAAATAAATGCTCACAGTCCTCAGCCAAGTTGCCACAAATCCCTACCTGTCAAAGAACAAGGATGGAATTAAAGATGTCTATTTGTAGATTTTTCGGGAATATATGTTTAATAAATATATAAGGAGGGAGGAACAAATGAAATTGGATTTTTTTTTATACTTGTTATTTTTTTCTCCATTTAAAGTTGCTACTTTATCTGTGAAAGGAAGTATCAATTTAGGTATAACTTTATAGTGATTTAATATTTTGGATCAAATAGGTATATTCCCTGATAAGAAATAAAATATATGACACACTGATCATTTTTTTGGAACATCATTTGTTTAAGAAGTAGCTGGGGAAACAACCGATTGGAGTTTTCTTGTATTTCCAACTGAAAATAATTGTTTTGAAAGTGTTTAATGCAACATGTTCATTCCCAGATAAGATAATGAAGCTGAATCCCTCTCTCTCTCTCTCTCTCTCTCTCTCTCTCTCTCTCTCTCTCTCTCTCTCTCTCTCTGTCTTTCTCTCCATCCCCCTCCCTCTCCTTCTTCTTCCCTCTCCCTCCTTCCTTCCCCCACTCTACAGAAAGCTTCCCACATCAGGTTTCGAATAAGCAAGACACCAACCCTGTAGTGTGAAGATGCAGGCATTTCAGGACCTGCCCACCCCTTCAGCATAGCTTGACTTATCCTAACTAAAAGGCTAAGCATTTTTCTCATAACTCACAGGTTCCTATGAAGCTAAACTGCCTTGACTAACACACCCAGGGTCTTCTTTTCCCACACACAAAGAACCAAATATTAAGCCAAAAGAACTCTGGAATGAAAATCAGCTGGCTGTCAGGCTGATAAAGAGGTTGTGTACCCAGGGGTTGGGGCCCAAAATCTGTACCCCAAAGAAAGAAAACTGTGGTCCTGTCCCAGTCGGTATTCCGGAGAAGCTAATCCACCAGCCAGGACCGTGGAGTCTTAGGGCAGCCTCAGACAGTCCCAGTGAGAGAGACAAAGGAATTATTCCCATGTCTTTACAAACACAAGCAGGAGCCTGGTGCCTCAGACCCAGATTAATTTAGCATAACATAGAATTTTTTTAAAAGCAACAAATTAAAAGCAAAAAAAAAAAAAAAAGAATGAGTTGCTGGTTGCTAAGCAACGTCAGCATGAGGCTCTTTCTTTACCATCAAGACCATTCTCGCCATCTTCATGAACAAAAGCCAAAGAGACCTTAGCAACGGGCATATATTTAGCCGTGACATCAGTAGACACCAAGCGAGTCTTTCCTGGAAATAACAAACAGCGGAGCACCAAGCAAGCGTTCGGCGTTTCCAAGCTGAAGGCACAGGTCGGCAATGTCTGTTCTGAAAACACGACGGCCTCTCTGTACAAACAGGTGGAGGGGCTCCTTTATCGGTGATTACAATAGATGTGGGGGGGATTCCGCTAAGTCAGGCAAGCTTTGCTCTCTTCCAAGGTCAGGAGGGGCTTAGCCGAGAACCCTCCAGTAGGAGCTCATTCCTTGCCTGAACACCAAGGAGCTTAGGCTAAAGGTGAACCCTCTCTCTCCCTGTCTCTCCCTGAAAATCTGATGCTTTGCATCCATGGTGGTTTTGTTTTCGGAGTCATCCATCACTCCAGGGTCAACCACCAGCAAAGCTAACTGTAAACACAGACGAGACCACATACTGCAACAGTTCAGACTACCGTCCACCGACCCCCTGAGTCCCACATCCTCTTGCTCTACACAGGCCGCCCCTTCCTCCGCCCCCTGACTGAGATGTGAGCCTCCCCATACCTTACCCAACAACTATTGTAGCCCTGACGCCCTGGTCAAGATCACCAACTGCCCTGAACCTCGTGTGTTGAGATTTTCCTCTAAGCGACAGAGCAATTTCCCTGACCGTGGACAAGTCCGTGGCCCTAGGTACAGTGCCCCGTGGACACCACTTGTCCTGGCTAGAATGAGGAGGTAAGATGATCTTTCTATCGGGAGCCCTGAAAGTGTCTCAACCTCAAGTTCTACTGTGTGCAAAACGCTGCTCGGAACATAAAGAATGCTTGAAAAGGAACACTGCGGTTCTTGGGGGAACACGGCTAAACACAGAAGAAGGTAGACCAGGGCCATCCGTTTCATCCAGTGTTGTCATGTGGGAATATTACGAGAGAGTGCAACCAGGGGGGATGGGGCGAGGGGGGGTGATTTGGGAGATGGCGCTGGGCTACTTGGTACTATGAAAGTTGTCAGATACCAAATGGCCAGGACTCAATGAAAGTAATAACCATAGAGTTAGCAGGGCTGGGAGAGTGGATGCTGATATCAAGACATCAGCATAAAACCCCAAGCAATGTGCAGCGCAAGTGTGAAATGTTGAGTCAGGTGGAGGAAACTGCTTCTCTTCCCTGTTGTTCCTTGGTAAGGACACCTGTAGACATGAGGTTTCTAGCCCTGCAGGGTCCGGCCGACCTGGAGCCCCAAATAAACACACAGAGACTTGTATTAAATTAGAAGACTGTTGGCTGGTGGCTAGGGCATCTTATTGGCTGGCTCCGTCTTAACTATTAACCCATTTCTATTAATCCGTGAATTTCCACGTGATCACATCTTACCAGAGAATGTCGGACATGCAACTCCTTTGCCTGCTACATGGCGACTGCTCGGCGTCTCCACAGAGAAGAGAGCGATTTCCTGTTTATATCCTGATTTTGCTGAGCTGCGCCACTTCCTGTCTGTCTGTACAAACCTCCAGACCTCTATGGTTAGTTAGTGGCAAGTTTCCGCCCAGGTACGTCACTTCCCTTCCATCTGGCCAATCAGTGTTTTATTCATTAACCAATAAGAGAAACACACACACACACACACAGAAGAAGAACATCCCCATAAGACATCCTGGCTTTACAGAAGCCCTTGTCACACCCCAGCCCGCCCCACAGTGTCCTGGGAGCTTTATCAGATCACACACAGAAGCCAAGCAGGAGTTGGGGGGAGAGCTGCATTTTTTGCGTCCCAGCAGCGTTCACGTTTGGGCGCCCCGCAGCTGTTTGGTTTCTGCTTCCTGCCGAACTTTCTTTTTTTTTTTTTTTAGTCCTTTTTTTTTTATTTTTTGAATTTAAATTAGAAACAAGGTTGCTTCACATGTCAATCCCAGCTCCCTCTACCTCCCCTCCTCCCACGCCCTCCCACCAACCCCCCCAATCCTCCCTCCCCCAATCCCCACTCCATTCCCTAGGGAGGGTGAGGCCCTCCATGGCGGGGGGGGTCTCCAGAGTCTGCCATTTCATCCAGGGCAGGGCCTAGGCCCTCCCCCAAGAGTCCAGGGCGAGAGAGCATCACTCATTGTGGGATGGGCACCCAAAGTCCATTTGTGTGCCAGGGATAAATATTGATCTACTGCCCAAGGCCCCATAGATTGCCCTGATGAACTTTCTCATAAGCACACACCTCCAACCTTTGCAAAGTTTGCGCAGGCTATAAACTTGGCTTTCTCTCTATCATCGATCAGCCTTGCCGTAACGTCCCTGAAAAGTTAACCTAGTCTACCAAGGCATATGCTTTATGAGGTTTCGTATTATTGCCCTGGAATCTGTTCTCGGGAGGCCCTCAGAAGCATAAAGGTTTGTTCAACGTTTCTCCAAGCAAAGAAAAGTGTCCTCCAGGACCCCATGCCCACTAAAACCCTCCAGAAACAAAGATTCTGCTTTGGTTCTACGGAATATGCTCATGCGTGGACTCCCTGTACCACACAGGACGACGGTCAAGCAAGTGAAGGTTGTGACCACTGGCGATTGTTCTTGGGAGTTGTAAAGTAGTGTTATTCTAGAGTCTGAGCTTCGAGAAGTTAGGTAAGAAAGAAGATGTTTTCTCTACTTGGATCCCAGTTCTGGGGAATGCGTCTCTTCAGAAGTCCAGTGGACAGCTCAGCATTCCACAAGTGCATCCTGTTTCAGAGCCCACTGAGACATTAATGCTATCTGAAGGATGGGAAACAATGAGCCCCGTGATCTGGGGAGTCCTAGAGCCAATTCAGACTCTCAGGTGATCAAACTCCACCAGTGCCCGTTCTTAGAACTCCCAAGGTCAGACATCTTCATGGGTGCACCTGTGGTAGAAGGAAGCTGTTTCTTGAGTGGCTCAATTTTCAGTTGATATCAAACACAAATTCCATGTGGGCTTTGTTTTCTATTTAGTTTCTGGACTCACCCACTGAAAAGCTAGATTAAAAACTCCTGGCCAAGATCAAGGATATTTTTCAAACAATTTGGCAATCTTAGAATTCTAATGTTTTCCTGACTATGGCTTTCCTTTTACACTTTGAGTTTTCCCACGTTAAAATGTGTTCATCTGAGCAGGGAAACACACCTGCATCCATGTTCATCTGAGCAAGAACACACGCCTGCATCCATGTCCATCTGAATAGGAACACATCTGCATCCATCAAGCATTTGCAGACAACTTGACATGAGCTGGTATGTGAGACTAATTAATTCCAGGGGAAATACAAATATGTTGATATGATGCAATGCAGTGTGATAAGACAAAAGGAGATGATCTCTATCCTTAATAATATCACTGTTACTTGTGAAATAATACCATACAATGAATTAATTTAAGAACAGTTAAACTGCTCAGCCCAGCCATAGATTTAGCAAACAAAATCAAATGAACAGAACTGAATGCCCAACAAGACTTGTGTGGACCATTAGTTGTTTTTTTTTTCATTTTAGGGTTGTACTTTATGATTCTTCAAACAGTGTCTTGGTGTTTCTATTGATTCAAGAAAAAAACCATGACCGAAAAGCAGGTTGGGAAGAAAGAGTTTATTAGGTTTATCATCATCAAAGGAAGTTGGGACAGGAACTCAAACAGGGCAGGAACCTGGAGGCAAGAGCTGATGCAGAGGTCATGGAGGGGAGCTGCTCAATGGCCTGCTCCTCGTGGCTTGCTCAAGTCCACCTTGTTATAGAATCCAGGACCACCAGCCCCAGGATAGCACCACCCGCCACAGGTCAACCCCATTGATGACTAGCACCACCCACCACAGGTCAACCCCATTGATGACTAATTGAGAGAATGTGTTACAGCTGGGTCTTTTAGAGGCATTTATCAATTGAGATCCCTTCCTCTAAGATGACATTGGCTTGGGTCAAGTCAATGTAAAACCAACCAGGACACAGAGCAGCCACCTCTGAACCACTCTCAAAGTCAAGTTCAAATGCCCCTCCATCTGTGAAGTCTTAACCCAAAGCCATGGCTGGTTTTAGCCATTCCCTTTGCCGAGCTTGGGGTCCAACTCCATCTCTTGTAGCTCTGCTAAAATCATTACTTAAGTCTGCTGATTCGTAGCTAACTATACTCATCGTCCTTAATAAGTAGTGAAGGCGTGCACCAGGGTTTCATGGGGATCCCTGTGATGTTTGGTTTTCATCATCAGCTTCGTCTCAGGAGGACTGTGTAACTCAGGGCGGCCTGCGGGCATTCTCTGACGGATGGTCTTCATTCCGTTAATTGACACGAGAAGGCCCAGCCTTAAAGTGTGTGGTGCTGTACCCTGGGTTTGGGTCCTGGGCTGTAAAAGGGGAAAGTGAGTTGAACACTGGCAAGAACGTGTGTAAAGCATGCTCTCTCTGCCTTTGGCTGTGGATGTGACTGGCTGCCTCAGGTTTCCAATGCCTTGACCTCCCTGAAACGATGGACCTGAACCTAGAATTATAGGACAACTAAATCCTTTCTCCTTTAAACTTGCTTTCGCTGGGGTATTTTATTACGGTGACAGGAAGTAAAAGCGCCCCCCCCAGGAATACCTCACTTGACCAACATTTAATAAACATCTATTGGCATTATCTAACATCATCATAATGTAGAATTATGCTTTCAGCAATTTTTTGCTGTTTCCATGCAGAAGTTGTTGTGGGAGTTTCCTAGCTGAACTAAGCTATGAGCTTCTAACACATCGTCTACAATGGAGTTATATGTGATGGGAAGATTTTTGTTCATCTATTCCTGTTTTCTATAGCTTACCCATCAGATTTTTCTGTAGGATAGAAAATAATTGAGTCTAAAAATCATATCACTACAATTTTTTTCTTCTCTAATGCTTGAATTTAAAAACAAAAGGTGTGAGCAAGCTCTTAAATCACACACAACACACACAGGTGAGTTGGGGGAAGGTTTGTTTCAGTTTTTTGTATGAACAGTGCTGAGCATCTATCTGGATTGGTCAGGTCGACATAATAAAAATTCCCATCCAGCCCGGTGGTGGTGGCGCACGCCTTTAATCCCAGCACTCAGGAGGCAGAGGCAGGTGGATCTCTGTGAGTTCAAGTCCGGGCTGGACCGACAGCCTCCAAAACAATACAGAGAAACCCTGTCTCGTAAAAAAAAAACAAAACAAAACAAAACAAAAACAAAAACAAAAAAATGTCCATCCTACCAAAAGCAATCTACAGATTTGACGCAATCTCCATCAAAGCGCCAACACAATTCCTCACAGATCTTGAAAGGACAATTTTGGGCTTCTATGGGAGCGCACACATACACACATACACACACTCACAAAAAAAAAACAGAATAGTTAAAAAAAAAGTCTAAGTAATAAAAAAAAATCTGCTAGAAGTATTACCATCCCTGGTTTCAAGTTCTACAGAGCTATGACAATAAAAACCGCATGAATCAGCAGAAAAACAGGCACACGGATCAGTGGAATCAGATTAAAGACCCAGATATAAATCCACACATCTAAGAACACCTAACTTTTCATGAGAGAACCAAAAATGCACACCAGGCTAGCGCAACGGTGGCACGTGGCTGGTGGGAGTAACCAACCAATGTCTCATCTGACCCACACCTGATACCGTTTGGGTGAGCAAGGACTTGAGCCTAGATGGTCCAAGGTCCTGTGGTAAAAAAAAATACTGCTGTTACATAAAAAAGTAAAAATAAATCATAGCAACAGAATGACTCGTAGTCAAAGCAGTGCCTCGCTCAGACGCCTCTCCCTACAGCCGATGGGGGGAACAGATTACGGGGACCCACAGCCAGACACTATGCAGAGAGTGAGCGAGATCTTGGAATGTGCTGCCTTAAACAGGATGTCTCCATTGCCTCTCCCCCTCCTTCAAATCTCAGGAAGCCCTGAGGAAGAGGAGGCAGCAGAAGGGTAGGGGGCAGAGGGGATGGAGGACACCAGGAGATCAAGGCGCTCTACACCAGCATGAGCGAATCTCATGCGAACTCACAGAGACCGGGCGGCAAACACAGGCGTGGGTCAGCACCAGGTCCTCACGTGTACCTTACGGCTCCCAGTTTCGTGTGCTTGTGCAATTCCTGAGTGTGTCAAAGAGCGGGTCTCTGTTTCCTGTGCCTTCTTTTGGGCTCTCTTCCTACCATGTGTGTTGCTCAATTCTGATGTGTTAGTTTTTTATTTTATCTTGCCCATATTTTATATTTCATTATTTTTTTAAATTGGGGGACAAAAAACTATTTCAATCCTCAGTTTTCCCTATTGGAAAGTGAGCCTGCTTACATTCGTTTCACAGATTGATTCTGAAGAGTAAATGCTAATACGAGAATAAACTGAGAGGTAGTAAAACAAATAATTCCAAGCATTTGTTATGCGCCGTGCACTGTGTTAACGCTTTCTGTGTGAATTATCTGATTTCTTACAAAAGTCCAGTTTCCCGTATGTTGTTGCTGTTATTACCCATCTGACTCTGTCT